TTATCGGTACTGTCTTCTACCGTAGAAGAAACTTATCAGCGCAACACAATTTCCCATCGGCCGATCCACTTGATAGTACAAATTCAGTTGTCACTGCTACAACGCAAACTTAACAATTTGTTTATTACTTAATTATTATAAATAATTTATTATTTAGTTGAAATTGTTAAATTTTTTATGAATGTATATGTTGAGTTTTAGAAAATAAAATAAGATGAGATAGAATTGTAATTAAAATTTTTTTATTTTCCAGCTCTGCTTCAATATATGATTTAAATGACTTTACGTTTATATTTAATTTCGAAACTTCTCACGCTTGCCTAGTCTATATACTCTATAATCGGAACTGCTGAAATTACACCTATATAAGGGTAAAGTTCTTCGCGGCTCTATTAATTACAAATACAAGAAAGTCGCAACATTTTTTGAGTTCCCTGGGCTACGCTAAGTTTAAAATTATTTGTTTCGACAACCACATTCTGGAAAAAGATTATTATTGTATAATAATTTATTTCACAAAGTCACGTTTTTAATCAGGTAGTTTGCCCAGTGGTCATGCCCAGCGGAACTGCTGTGGTCTTGATGGGCACATTATAACATTCCGAGTATTCAGAGCATCGTGGTATTAGGTTATTAGGTTATTGTTACTATAGTGACCATGTAAATATGTGCCTAATTAAACTCTTTTGGTGATATTTTACTCAGCTTTTTATAACTTTATATGACTATAAGCACCATTTCTTATGATTTAATAATATTTATTATGAGAAACTAAGTCCATTCACTCTACTTCAATGAGGTCTCAACAGTTTTCTTCAACATTTGTTTTTACAACTCTTGAATATTTTGAGTCCTAGTATACTGCCTATGATTTTTATATTTCTGTCTCTCTTTTTACTAACTTTATCGCGCTATAGTTTAGATAAATAATCTCTAAATATTAAATCTTAACGCTACTCTTACCTTTCAAAACTCAAATGGGACTATCAGCACTTTAACTTACTATCTGGAAACTTTATTATTTATTCAAGATAGTGATATAAGAGCTAGTTTTAGGTGGTTAGAATCCAACTGGTGTTCTTTGATGTTTGGGTTAGGCTAAGGCCCCAGTGCGACTACTTTGATCCATTGTGGACCCCTTTGTATTTAGATATTTAGTATCTCGAAGAATCGAACCAGCTCCTTCGGAGCCAGTTTTCGAAGGGCTTCATCCTCTAGTTGGTATGCACCTAAAATTTTGTTCCTTCTGTGGCCTAGTGCATCACAGTTGGTGCTCAGATGTTTCATAGACTCTTCCTCATCACAGTAGAATCTGCAAATACTTACTACTTACTAGAAAAAATCTTTGCTATGAAATTCAATAATTACTGAACCAAACAAAACAGCTTTGTTATCATTATACAAGTATTTCATCACAGAATCCAATCTAATATCATATGAGTATAAGTTAAAATTGTTTGAAAATTAAACAAATTAAATTATTTTTTATACTGGTTGTATACGATTTGAATGCGAACTGCACATTTCAATAGAATATTTAGACTATTAAAGCATATCTTCAACTAAAATGTCATGGACAAAAAGATACCAACTACATTAATAGAGTTGCACTTCTCAGCATAAGGTTTGGAATTGTTTGGTCTTCATGTGAGTAGATGACGTTCCTATGTTAAGCTGCAAATTATGCGAATTGCATGCACTCCATTAACTTTAAAACATTTCATTTGTTGCTTGCATACTTAAAAGAGTGTCGTCTCCTGGTTCCAAGTATTGACAATAAAGAAAATGGGCAACATCATTTGCTGTCATTATTATTTGTAACTCGAGCATTGAAGTTGCTTTGTGTGTTGCTATTTTAATGCTGGTATACTTGAGTGCAATGGTTGGAATATTTAAATTGGTGTACTAACCTTTATGACTGACAATGTAACTGCTGCTCCACGTTTTTATTGGTCTGGTTTTGTCTGCACTGAACTGAATTGATATGATAACATCCTTTTGCACCTGTCGCAGGTACATCTTACTTATATATTTAATGGAGTTTGGAATCGTTTGTATATGATAATGTAAAATTAAAGTTTTTTTTTGTAATTACTTTGATATTGTTTAGAGTTATAAAAATGAGAATAATGGAGAATATATTAGAATGAACTAAAAATAAATATTTTTTAATACATTTATGCAGTTTATGTCAAACTTAATAGTACTTCAATGTACTATTGTATTATCGATACTCCTCCTAGAAGTTAAAGGAATTTATATATATATGTAATGATACTTCAATAAGAAACGTGAATTTAACTCAAAATGTAGAATATAAATAAGAACGAATTTATATCCATTTACAAAGAAACTTCATAAATTGGAAAGTATATAGGCGTTAGATTATAGCTAATCATTTTTGTTGTACATTCGTAAAGAAGACTAGAACTAACTTTTGAATTGATTAATGAAAAGGTGTTTCTATTCTTCCTACAACAATTTATTCCATAAATTAATATAATTTTAAAGATAATAAAAATAAATTTTACTGAAATTTAAATTAATTTAAAAAAAAATGATGAGATTCCCAAGTAGTAAACCTTTTTATATCAAATCTGCCGCCTTATTACTGAAATGAATTACTCTTCTCTCATTTGCCACTCGGATAGAGTGTGGAGATAGAGTGGTTAGATATCTCATTTATAAGAAACAATTTTATTGGGTTAAAACGGTTCTATTGCCACTAGGAAAAAAAATGATACATTCTTCTGGTCCAAAGCACGCAAACGATCATTTAAACTAATCACTTAGTTTAATAGGGATCCTTATTATTCTTGTTTATTCTTGTCTGCATTATTCGAAAGTGAAATGAAGTTTATTACCAATTGTTTTACTGATGTTGTTGTAGTTTTTATTATTGTTTTTATTGTTGTTGTAATCTATAACTATATGTACGCCTAAGTGTGAACATAAGTAAATATCAACTTTCTTTTCATATAAAAAAAGGTTCTATTTTTAACATACACTAATTGTATTACGACCAACAGTTGCATTACCGAAAATTACTAATGGTGTTACTAAGAAACTTTTAAATTTGAAGATCATAAGTTAAGTTTAGACTGACTGGGCGCTAGATCTATTCCTAGCGAGACCAAATTGATTTTATAGCAGGCCATGTATAGACGTACTGTTGGACACCAAATACCAAATAGAATAGAACTTCTATCTAGTTTTTTTAGTAGCTTAAGTTAGTTTAAGCTATGTGGGGGTAATATCTATTGGTTCGTAGCGATACCAAATATAATTGAACTTTTATATAGTTTTTATAGTAGAAATTTTTGCGAATTTAAGAAATACTTGAAGTTCTCTTTTTGAGTCAGAGTTACCAACCAATTCTTTTAAGATCTTCTTAACGTATTTTTAGACCAGAATTTAGTGTTAGTACACACGCTTTCCGCTTCTGGTACTGACAGTATTGAAATTAATTAATTCATGTAATAAAGTTTATATTAAATTTGATTTTTAAAGTCATTCATGACGAAAGAAACCATATTTCTTAATATAAACTATTGTTTTAATATAGAGGTATTTCGAATTGTAGTAAATTACAACAAATTTTTTTTTATTTAAAATTAATTGAAGGACAGTTTTGGATACTGGACACTGACTCTGAGCTTCAAATTTGGCAAGGCAAGAGTTCAATCCTTGGTACTTAGACTCTCAAAAAATTAACTACAAAAAATTTTGGTAATACTCTAACTAGCTGTATGTGGTCAGCCAAAAATTCGCAATTATTTAATAAATAATAAAATGTTGGTGTTCAAAATACTTCTCTAAAAATGTTTATACGTACAATACGTCAATTATCAAATCAATTTTGTCGTCTCCATTTTTAAATAAGAACATATTATTTTGACTATAAAAATTTCCCTTTTTATTATAATTAATCGAAGATAATAGAAATTTGATCAATCGGTGACACTGTACATTCACTGTATTTAAATTCACAATTACCTCCCGACCGCCCCAATATTTCCGCTTTCAAATAATCTTTATCGCTGGCTGTTCGAAAATCATCACGTGACGTTGACGGTCTAAATGAGTGCCAAAAAGCAACAAAAAAATTAAAAAAAAATTAATATTTATTCAGGTGGAAATCGCAAATTACGTACGTTAAAACAATGTGCAAAATTTCCGCCAACATACCGCTTTCATAGTGCAACGGCACAGATGCGTGCTCGCAAATGCTGCGCATTAGACATATGTGACCGGGTAAGCCAGACCTGTAAGTGGGAGCAAATAAAAAGTTGCTGATTAATTTTATGGCTACTTCTATTGTGCATTGGAATTGCATATATTTTGCATAAGTACTGAGGCTGTAACAATATATTTAAGTACTAAATGCAAGAACAAAAGCAATGCAAACTGCAAGCAGACAGCATTGTCCGCCGTATTCATAGCTTTTTTCTCGTAATTTTACTATTAACGTTTATTTACATTTCACATACCGGTTCAGTATTATTTCGATGGCTTTGTATATGATCCACCTATATATGGACGCATTTCTGTGTTGACTTTTGAAATTATCACCGAAATTGGAGCTCTCATTACCGTTCACAGTCCACATTTGAGTGCTTTGCGAGTGGGCCAACTCAAGTGCGTCTTGCGTGAGTGTGAGTGTCTCATTGGTGCTGCGGCGATGTATCGATTGCGGTTTTAAGTAATAGGGTCGAATTTCTTGAGCTTTTGTTGGTAGAAAGTATTCTACCTTCAATACATAACCCGATGTTACTGACTCAAAATGCAAATCCTCCACTGGAATGCCGATGCCGCCAATAAACTAAAAGCAATCATTATGCAAATGTTAATAAAAAAATAGCCAACGGCTTCGTTTTATATGAACTTTTTACTATTTTAATAATTTTCTCAATTTTCTCAATTTTCACAATTTTCACAATTTTCACAATTTTCACGATTTTTACAATTTTCAGAATTTTCAGAATTTTCAGAATTTTTGCAATCAAAATTTTGTTTGTTAATTTTGCATTCGTCCATAAAGCAAAGCAGAGCACTAAAATTTTATATAAATTTTTTGTTTGTTAAAACTCATTTCACTTAAAAATGATTAAGCGATTTTTTATACTACTTTTTAGTATTCTCATTGCAGTTCTTACTTGTACGCGAGTTGGTGCAGTTGGCGGAAATAGCAGGGTTCTGGCTTGTTCCTTCGCCTTTCTTCGATGCTTGGTTTCCATATCTGATTTAATTGTCTGTAGAAATATCAGCGTTAAAATTGTTATGAGCCAAAAGTCAAAAGTTAATTCCATTTATCTCCGTTCAATAGAGTGAGATGTTTTTGTGGTAACAAATGGTTGGCAACTGAACCCAATAACTGATAACTGGGAGCAACAATTGGAGCAACTGATGAACTAACATAAATTGTTTGGCTCTCAGCAGTAGTCTTGAGTTGTCTGCATAATAATTCGTATGAAAAATAAGGTGGAAAGTATTTGAAAGATACTTTTTTACGCACAAAATCAATTAGCATCGATTAGTGTGGAATTACTACAATTTCGTTTTCATTGTCGTTATAAGTATCTTAAAATTGAATTTGGGTAAATGGATTAGATTCTAATGCAAATATTAAGTTTAAGCTTGTTTACCTCATGAATTTATAATTTATGTGGGAAGATAGTTTATAGTATTGTGATAAATATATATACTTGTTTGTGTTTAAAATTGTTTAATATGGCATACGTGATTTAAGAAAACATTAAGTATTTAAATTTAATGGATATGAGTTGCAAATTAATTTGAGAAGACAGTTTAGAATTTAATGTTTTCAATTTCAAAATCTAATGGGTATGTGATTAGAGCTGGATAGCCGAGACCTAATACACACCAGATAGTTTGATTTATTGAATAAGTGTTTCAGAAAAGTAAACTTAGATTATGGTTTGGAATTTAATCTGGTTTGGAATTTCAAAATCTGATGAGTGGGTAATTAGAGCTGGCTAGCCAAGATCTAATACAAACCAGATACATTGATTTAAGAAAAAATGTGCTGGCAAAAAGAAATTGAGAATATGATCTTCAATTTAATAAGTTTTATTTCTAGTCGAGATCTAATACAAACCAGAT